CCCTCCTCCTCCTCCTCTCCTCCTCCTCCTCCTCCTCCTCCTCCTCCTCCTCCTCCTCCTCCTCCTCCTCCTCCTCCTCCTCCTCCGCCTCCGCCTCCTCCTCCTCCTCCTCCTCCTCCTCCTCCTCCTCCTCCTCCTCGTCCGCTTCCTCCCGCCCAGACCACTGGGGCCCTGCCCCGGGCCCCCCCCGCCCAGAGGAGGGGCCCGAGCCGAGGGGGTCCCCTGCTCGCGGCCCCCTGAGCCCATCCCCCTAACGGACGTTGCCCCTTCGAGATGGTTGTTCCCGACCGTCCTGTCGTGCCGTGCCCTCGTTTACAACGAAGACAGCGAGCGCCCCTCGTCCTCTTCTCTCCCCCTCCCTCCTCCCTCCTCCCATCCCTGCCTTTTTTCCCTCCGCGTTGTCCTTTTCGGTACACCCCTCATACGTCTCGTGGCCTCATAGGGAGCTCCACCATAGGCTCCAGCGTCAGGGTCCGCAAGCCTTCTCCATACCACTCCGGCGCACCCCTTAGACGTTTCGTGGCCCCCATGGGGAGCTCCACCTAAGGCACCAGTGCCAGATTCCTCATGCCTTCGCTTCACCAGTTCGGCGCCCCGAATATGTTCCGTGGCCCCATAGGGAGCTCCACCTACGGCCCAAGTGCCAGGGCCCGCATGCATTCTCCACACCATGCCGGCCACGCTTCGTGTCCTCATAAGGGGCTCCACTTAAGGCCCTAGTGTCAGGGTCCGCATGCCTTCTCCACACCATTTTTCGGCAAACTCCTTACACATGTCGTGGCCCCAATGGGGAGCTCCACCTGGCCCAATAGCCAGGGCCCGTGTGCCTTCTTCACACTATTTCGGCTCACCCTTCACACGTCTCGTGTCCCCATACAAAGCTGCACCTAAGGCCCCAGCGACAGGGCCTACATGTCTTCTCCTCACCATTTCGGCTCAACCCTCACACGTGGGCTCCACCGACGACGACGACGACGACGACGACGACGACGACGCTCCTCACAACTACGGTACTCACAGATCTGCATAGGGTTGGGTCCTTCGTCAGGCAGATGTGCTCTTCGGCGACAACCTGGGCTACCCGGCGGGCGGCAGGTGCGGGCCGATGACCTGACCTGTTCGCTTCGGACAACCCCCCACGTGTGCCTGCGCATGCGTACCCCCCCCCGGACCTGCGCAACCCACAGAGTCAAGTTATCCACGGGGGGGGGCGGGGGGGCCCGATATAGCCTGCGCTGTCGCCGGCCCCTACGAAAACTCCAGCCTCTCGACCTTCAGGTCATCACTCGGCCTCCCGGTGGCCGTTCGGGGCGCTCCCGGCACTCCTGGCACGCCCGAGGCGCAGCTGGTGGAAACCACCCCGGACTTCAGAAAACGTCCGAAAGCTCCGGGGAAACTCCCCGCCCGAGCCTGCCCCCCCCGCGGCCTGCCCCGAGCCTGCCCCGAGCCTACCCCCGAGCTTACCTGTGCCTACCCTGAGCCCTGAGCCTACCCCAAGCCTGCCCCGAGCCTACCCCCGAGTCCTACTCCCAAAAGTTCCTTCCCCGAGCCTTACCCTTCTTGGCGGCGCGCACAAGGGGGTGGAGGGAGGGGCGGAGGCTACTTACAAGGAGGCTGCTTCTTAGAAGGCGCCGGCCTCACGTGTCTAGACAAGGCCCGCGCCTTCTTAGAAGCAGGGGTGCGTCTAAGAAGCCCTCCCCCCTCCCCCCGCCCCCTCCCCGTCGCTCGGACGTCCCTTCCCTGTGCTTCTTTCGGTTTCGTGCGCGTTTTTTCGCAGGATGATCCAGGATGCTCCTTGACAATCCCCGCCGAGAAACAGTGCGCACGTCCGAGCGATACCAAGCGCCCCCCTCCCGCGCGTGGCCGACCTTCGGTCCGCCAGCGGCCCCCGCGAGAGCGACCCCCGGCCGCCGAGGCGCCTCCCCCGCGGCCCGGGCCACGCAGGCGTCGGGGTCGGCCAGTAGCCGGCGGAGGGCGTCCGCGGCCCAGGCCTCGCCAGACCTGGCCCCGCGCCCGCGGCCCGGCCAGTCCGCCCTCTCGCGCGCTCGCTGCGCCTCGTCGCCGCCCGACTCCCTCCTCCTCCTCCTCCTCCTCCTCCTCCTCCTCCTCCTCCTCCTCCTCCTCCTCCTCCTCCGCCTCCCTTTTTCGTACATATCCTCCTGAAGCTCCTTGTCCTGCTCCTCCTCTTCTCCTCGTGCACCCTACGACCCTGCCAGCCCTTGAGAACTGAGTGCGCACATCTTCCTCGTAGCGGTCTTTGGTGCGATATCTCTTCGGCCCAAAATGCAGACAGATATCCTGGCAGAAAACGCCCAGGTCTGACAACTATCACTTCACTCCCGTTCGGCGGAACGCCCTGAATAGAGTCGTGCCGAGTGCTCCGCCGATTTCTCAACAAAAATCCGCCGTCCACGCGCAGCAGCCAGTCAGCCAGATTACGCTCCGAGGGCACGCATTCAACATCCGCCGCCGTGCTTCTGGGCACGGAGTGGGCGTGTCCTCGGGGCGTGCGCCCAATCCTCTGAGCCCCAGTCCTCACTCCTGAGGAGTCTTTAGGGGGCCCCCGGATCCCAAATGGCCAGATCTTCTGGGGCTTCTCGCGTGCCCCGTGGGGTTCGCGGCGACGTCTCGCACGATTTTTGTCGGGTCTGAGAGGGCCCCAGGACGGGCCAAGAGGGTCCCACGAGGCCCTCAGGACGGTCCAAGAGGGCCCCGAGAAGGCGAAAAATCGCCCCAGGCCTCCCAAGAAGGCCTCAGGATGGCCCACGAGGCCTCCAAGACGCCCCAAGAGGCGTCCAAGAAGCCTCCCAAGAGGGCCCCAAGAGACTCAAATGATTGATTCCCCTGAGATTTTGTAAGGATTTAAGCGTTCTCGCATTTTCTGTTTTCCGACGCTCCAAGACGGCCTAAGAGGCCCCCCAAACCACTCCAAGACGGCCCAAGAAGCCTCCAAGAGGTCCCCAAGACGGCCTAAGAGCGCCCCAAGACGGCCCAAGAGGCGCCCAAGACGGCCCAAGAGGGCCCCAAGACGGCCCCCAAAAGGGGCCCAAGAGAGGGGACACGAACCGAAGATCCGAGCCTTCAGCCCCAAGAGGCCCCCAGGAGGCCCCAGGAAGCCCCCAAGAGGGCCCCAAGAGGCCCCCATCATGCCCAAAAGAGGCTCCAAGAGGCCCCAAAACGGCCCCCTAGAGGCATCAAAACTGTCTCCCAAAAGGCCCCCGAGAGGCCTCCCACAAGATCCCAGCGAGCATCAAATTGGCTTCATGCCACAACCCAGGCATGGCGGAATGAGCCGAAATCCATTAGATACTCATGACTGGTAGAACCGTGATGCTGGACGCACCCGTTGGCGATTTGGTCGGCCATGTAATCCCACCAGCCATTTGGGCGGAAGTGGTCCAGCGCGCTTCCTCTTTCAGCCCCCTTCTTCCCCTTCGGGGCAGGGCTGATCCTTCCCCCACCCCCTCCCCTTGAGTCTGGACGGGGGCGGGCCCGAGGGGTTAGAGCGCCCACCATGGCCCAAGGTGGTTCCAGATAAGGTAAGATGACCCCCCATGACGGCTCAAGATGTCCAAATAGGCCTCTACTATGCCCCCAAGAGGTCCCAAGACCTCTCCAAGACGGTTCCAAGTGGCCACGGAGCCTCCCAAGGACGCTCCCGATGGACCCAAATCCTTCCACCACCTTAGGCAAACAAACGATGGTGGCCTTCTCGCCCTTTCGCTTCCAGTGGGCCTCTGGGGCCTCAAAATGGCTAATTACAGGATGGCCCAAGAGAGCCCCAAGACAGGCGAGAGCGCCCAAAAGCGCTCTACGAGGGCCCAGAGGGAGCTGGTCTCCGGGCTCCAGGGGGGCAGAGCTAACATGGGACCCCGAGCTTGTTTGACGGCTGCCTCCCCTTTGTTCCACTGCTTGTATCTACACTTCCCTGATCAATGCAACTCGCCTTGGCATCGTCTCTGAATAGGCTGGTGGTGATACGCGAAGCGCTAAGATTTGAATCGTCGGGGGGTCCACCCCACATCATTGCCTGGCAGAACGTCTGGTCCGTGAGTGTGCAACGACCAGCCACCAAGCCCGCGACTTCCAGGCTATCCACCTGGACGCTCAAACATTCCCCAGGCCGGCTCCGGTCACGATGCCTGGTGTGCAATCTGACCTCCAGTCGGGAATCGTCCTCCGCATCGAGCTCTGACTGTGGCAGGTGCGCGGCTCAAAAGGGAAGTCCAGGCCAGTGCACGGTGGGCACATCTTCCTAAGAGCGAGCCGTTTTTCGAAGGGCGCATGGTGAGCTTCCGCTCTTCGAGTGGCTCCCAGGGGCGCGCTCGGCTCTGGCATTCATCCAAGGGCTGCGCGGGCGCAGCTGCACTCGAAAGACCCCGGAGTGGTTCGAGGCAGACGCGGCCAAACGTGCCACCAGCGTTTTGGATCGCGCTGCGTGGTTCCAGGAGGAGGGGGAGGAGGAGGAGGAGGAGGAGGAGGAAGAGGAGGAGGAGGAGGAGGAGGAGGAGGAGGAGGGAGGGGGAGGAGGAGGGATGAGGAGAAGGAGGAGGAGGAGGAGGAGGTGGAGGAGGGAGGAGGAGAAGGAGGGAGGTTCTCGAACATGCTCGAACGAACCACCGATAGAGGACTCCAGTTCTACCATGGGCGGGCAGAGACGGCGAGCGCTGAGACCAAAGAGCATGAGGGACGGCGGCGTGCATGCTGCAGGGCCGAAGCGGTCGCGCACGTCGCGGCAAACCCAATGTGCCCACCACGTCAATGTATGGCACCTTCTCCTCCTACTCCAGACCCTTCTCCGATTCCTCGTTCTGATCCTCCTCCTCCTCCTCCTCCTCCTCCTCCTTCCCATCCTCCTCTGTCGATTCCCTCTCCACCTATTTCTACGTACACCCACTCTGAACCCTACTTCTACACCTACACCTGCTCCTGGTCCAGATGCATCCCTCTTCCTCTTCATACCCTTATCTTTCTGATAATCGCTCCCTAAAAACAAGTTCACGTGTAACAGTGTAACGGCACAAGATCTAAGCCCGCCTCGGGGCAACGAAAGCGATACACGCCGCGCATTCGCCTGACGGTCCGACCCTGCTTCAGCATCCTCTCGCACTCTCTCTTGCGGATGCATCCTTGCCGCATTGCCCCTCCTGAGGTGGTCACGGCAGATCCCGACGGCAGTTAGCCTGGGAACGTCTGGAGAAAGACACTTGCAAGGACACGCACAAGAGCGCGCATTCAAGACACGATAGGCAAGCAGGGCAAACGTACGCTATAATCACAAAGGACAATACATTGTTTAAGTGTCTGGGCTGTGACTGCTGTGTGCAAATATTCAGCTCCAACTGGTACAGTATGCGAGTCGCTGGCGTCACTCCCATCATGACAGCTCGTATCTATCATTATGTAGCACGGTCGCCTGGCGCCTTCGCAACCAACGAGCCATGGATATCCAAAGACCATGTGCAACCAAGATGCGATGGAAGGAGCACGACCTTTCAGACTGAGCATCGTTTATCCGATCCCTATCCCCAGCGGCATGGCCTGAGCCCCACTGGCCGATTTACCCCCCCAAGATGGGGATGTAGGCCGTTCCCTTCGGGTTTCGAGGGGTGTATCCCCAACTGGGGTGGTAATTTGGTGGGGGTCTCGAAGGGGATGAGGATGGGGATGGGGGTCGGTTACACGATGCTGACAGCCTTGACGGTGGACGAGCCATCTTGGAACGCTACCCAGCTGCGCTACCGAACAGCCAGAAAAGTGCGGTGGCGAAGCAGGCCGGACCGCGGGCCGCTCTCCGCCAAAGCCCTGACGGCATGCTACGGAGTTCTCAGCCTGAGCTCACGCGAGATCGTGTGTGCGCCTTTGCCCACATCTGCCGGGTGGAGATTTATCTGTGTCCACCGCCCAGGGAACCGATGTCCTGGAACACCAGGGGGCGGTGGATCTGCATATACTTGGCCTCCCAGGGCCCGAATATATCTAATTCCACCGCCTGCCAAGGTCCCCGAAGGTCGGTCCCATGAGCGGGGGTTATGGCCACATCGACGCCTCCGGATGTCGTGATTGGCCTTCGGAACTTGCCTTGCCAAATGGCTGCGTTGCTCGCGCGCGCAGGACTGTCCGGACATCTACTGCTGTTGTGCGAAGCTGCCGAAGACACAGAACAAATGGAAGGCACCATCAGCCGCTGGAGTCTGATACCCGAAACTGCCCCTACCCCTCTACAAGCATTACCTCGGCGGGGCTGCTCGCACGCGCTTGCGAGTTATCGCTGCCTTCGGCTGTCTCCCATATGGACACGATCATCTCAACTTAGGCAGGGGCTCTGACTCTCACAGGGTGGTCCAAGGCCAAACAACTGCCACCTGAAACATCATTCGGCACAGAGTCGGCATGCGTGGTGGGCAGGCGTGGTCCAATTCGAGCACATGTCTTCAGCGTGCCTTTGGGCTTATGTTGCTCCCACCGTACTTCAGGACCACATCCCAGAAATAATTTCGAGCACCCAGAAAATATCGAAACAGTGTCGAACGAGTATCGCCTCCCAGGGCCCAACACGTGAAAACCCTGAAGTTTCGATACTTTCTTGGTGCTCGAAATTCTTTCTGGCGGTCAAGGCCAAAGTAAGTTGGGACATCATGAGGCTTGGCATAAAACTGTCAATTTCGAATTTTGGCCTGTGCGCTGCATGTAGTCTGATAGACACCGTCGGGGCACGGCACCGGCAGAGACGCAGTTGAGAACCGGCCGAAGCATACCAGAAGATCACTCGACACAGAAAGGGGTCTCCTGTGGTACACAACCGAAAGCCAATCGAGGCACAATCGAACATCAATGGGGACGCAGCCGCAAACCAATCGGGACACGCGGCACCATCAGGACACGATGCAAACATCAATAATCATGACGCAGTCAAAACACCGTCGGGACGTCATCATAACACACCGTACATCCAAGGAACCCCACACCTCAACACAGGTGAACGGGAGGGACAAGTGAAGGAATCAAACACGGAACCTGGTTCTTCACCTCCAGGAGGCGGCTTCTCGAGCCGTCTGGTAAGTATGGACTGCGAGTGCACTGGCGAGCTACGACCGCACAGTTAGGAAGGAGGACAGATAGGGACACGTACTCGGCATATCCTCCCCTTCGCCCGTGTGCATGCCTCTTCTGTCACCCCACGGCCCAGGGTTCACACAGCGCGTGGGGAACGAGTGCCGCCAAGGTAGGCCGCCCTGGACACCTTTTTCCCCCTCCAGGGCAAATCCGCTTCCCCTCATGGGGGCTATACCCGTCCACAATAAAGAACGATCGTGCTCCACAACAAACAAGGATCCGCTTCCCCTCATGGGGGCTATACCCGTCCCTGGACACCTGTGCGGCGTGGGCCTCCCAAATCTCCGACGCCGTGACTTCGCCACAAGGCGGACCCCCAAAGGTCGGGACCCCTTCTCAGGGACAGGTTTCCCATCCCGAGTCGTTTTCTGACGGCCCCGGGGC